CAATCCAGAGATTGCCACGTACTCAAAAATCAATTCAACTCGGTTTCTTATTGTGATTTTGAAGCCTTATTTCAAACTTACCTAAATAACAATGTGTGATGGTATAATGTAAGATTCAGGACGTTCTGAAAGACTAAGTATTCCCAATAAACCAATAGCAGTATACATATAAATCCTGGTAGTTCGTGTAATGCATTTTCTTTCTTATCTCGTCACATGCATATGTGGAACCTTTGCGCTGCCTTCCTCTACGTTTTGCCAGGATAATATGAATATCTTGCATACCTTCGGGTTGTTATGCCTACGAGTTACTGCAGTTTTACATGGACACTTAATCTTGCGAATATGTTACCGGGACGACCAACTCTAAAAGCTTGCCGTATAAACCATGTACCTAAATTGTTCAGAGGAAAATTTCACTTGTGTAGCTATAAGCAACTTTAACTCACTTATGTTCGCAAATTTGAAGAGTGTATCTTTTTATAACTTTACAAACGGTTTTTTATAACTCCAGAAAGCTGAAATCGCCCGTGTCGAAAAAATCATCTTTTTTTAAACAAAAAAGACATTCAAAGCCTCTGGTCCTTATCTACGTAATACAAAACTCATTTTTTGACGTCATCACCAGGTCAGATGGCAAGTGACGTTTTAACGTATTCAATAGCTTATTTTTTGATACATAACTGGATGTATTTCAACCCCTTTGGTGATCAGACATCATACCAAAGCGTGTCGGTTTTATTCGCAACGCTTGCATTCAAGAACCCTGACTGAATTAGACCTGTTCGACCGCCTCTCTGACCGTGACTGATTTTTTTAAAGCTTTATTTCCTTCAAACTGTAAAAAACAACACCTGTTCTATTTCGTGAATATTTCGCGTTTCCACGTGCAGCCTCACCTGCCATTAACAACTACTTACCTCTAAAAGATAAACGGAAGAGAGTTTTGTGTACAATCAACCCTCAGCCCATCAACCGTTACTTTTACGATTTTTTGGGTATTTGCTTCTCATCATTACTTTCCACGCAAATGCGAGGGAGGTATTGTGTACCTGACAAGTTTTGTATACAATAGGGTCAGGAGCTTTAGATTTTTTAAGATATTTACAAGCATTGGAAGATTGATTGGATATGAATGTCTCAGATATAGAAGCAGTATTTAATCCTGACCCTATTGGGCAGATAACTAGAAATGACATATTTTAGAGCAATAAACATGGTAGAAAACCCGCAGAAGGCTAGCCTTGCATGCGGGTATGAATTAGCTTATGAATAATTACGTACTACTTAAACTAGAAATAAAAAGACACACGTGATTTTCTATGAAAAGAACAATAACAACATTAAATAGGATTTTAAAATACATTATCTGTCAAAGTGGGAGTATGGATGGCTTCATTTAATTATAGATCCTTTTTAAGATAAAATGTCTCATTTAGGGCACACAGTCTATCTTAGGTTATTAGTGTTTTTGTTTTCTGTTCTCTGTTTGGCGAATATATCAAGTATGTTGTCAAAATCGGTAAATAAGAGAGGTATATTATCTAAATCGGTAGTGTTGGGTATAGGGTATTTTGTCTAATTTGGTAACTTTATTCTAGTATATGGTTTTCATGTTAAGTGTAATCTTTTTAAGTCAACGATTTCGTGAATTCTGATAGATGTTATCCAGCCTTCTGCTTTCCTTTTAAATGTGTGTTTGGAACGTGTCATCTTCAGGTCTTGTGGAAGAAGATTGTAATATCTTGGTCCTAGGTATGAATTCGATCTGAGCATTATAGTTTTTTCTGGCTTTGGCACATTTAAATAATTCCTGTTTCTTGTTTCGTAAGAATGTATCGGCTGTTGGTTCGGAGGACGGGATATGTGTTGCACTATCAAAACTTTCAGTAGGTATAATTGCCTTATGTCTAATATACCAGTTTCTTTATAGAGATGGTCAGCTGGATACAGTCGGAGTTTATGAAATATTGTCTTTGAAATACTTTTTTGAGTTATTTCTAATTTGGATATATGTATCAGTTATGTTTGCTGCTCCCCATGCTATTATACCATAATTTATGTGAGATTCTGGCAATGCATGATAAGGTATTTTTAATTGACAATCCTCTAGTATATTTTTAATTCTTTTTATTCGATATAGAACGGATTGCAGCTTTTTCGCGACATACATTATATGCATATCCCACCTGAGGTGTGCATCTATGTAAATTCCTAAATATTTTACACCATTTACTTCATTTATTTTACATTTATTATCCCCAGTGTTTTTTATTTGTAGATGATGGTAAGATGGCACTTTGTTGGCATATGATGTGAAAGGAATAAAATCAGTTTTTTGAAAATTTGTTGTTAATAACTTATTACCAAACCAGTCCTTGATTTTACAGAGATCATTTTGTGCTACGTTTCTTAGATCTGTCCAGTTTTCATTTGTATATATCACCACAGTGTCATCAGTGTAGCTCACGATGTCTCCTTCAATTTTTTGTTTGAACAAGTCTGCCAAATATATGTTAAAGAGTAAAGGCCCTAAGATGCTTCCCTGGGGAACCCCGTATGCGACCGTTACTATTTTACTGTAAGTATTCACAATATTTACCGTATGAGTTCCAACAGATATATAAGATTCCAATAGGTTATATGATGTGCCTCTAAATCCTATGTTTTGAAGGGTATCTAGGAGTCCAGCGTGTCTACTGTGTGTATATTAGAGAGGTATGTGTATTTTGAAAGGGATAATTGGACATTTTATGTATTACATGCGTATTACCCACTAGTTCATATTCTCAAGAGGAACAAGATATGACATGAGGTACATACAAACCAGAATCGGAACAGCTAAATAAAAAACTAAATCAAACGCAGGATACCGGGAAATGATTTTTCTTGATCTAAATCAAGGTTGTCCAACTCATTTGAGACTATACGTATATGCTGCAATTATCAGAGAAAGCCAAAAGCTCTCTTTCACTAACAAGAGCATTTTTTACCTTATCCGGTTGACGTTTCAGATAGTTGTGGATTCTCCAAGTTTAATACAATTTTGAGAGTATAGACGTTTTTATTCATACATTTGCCTAAAAGGTAAGCTAGTTAAATCCCACAATATTATCAGAAACTTTTTGCATTCCAAAAACTTCACCTTGTATGGAATACATACTTACATAAAACAATATCAGCATAAGATAGTTTCTGCTTTTTCCATAATATGGGTTATTTATTTCATCTGTGATACGTGCAAGATTCTAGGAATAACAAAAAATAAAGAGATACTTACGAGACGGCAGTTATTGGGAAATAAATTCGAACACTACAGAAAATGTTATTAATGGCGGCTAAAATTTGATGTGACATGATCTTATGCAAAAATTAGGAAACTGAGAAAAATAATGTGTTATATCATTCCTACGGTACCTTTCTTCAGCTTTCATTCTAGCAAAAAGATTCTTTCGGATATACAATACTGTCTTAGATATAAAATAGGAATGACCTTTAAACGTCAAATATCTTTAGAATGCGATAAATTTTTGTTAACAGTACTATCAATAAGTTATTAGTAAATTTTGAATTGTTGCTTATTTTTCTTAGGACTCAATGAAATATTCTTCCCAAGTTCTGTACTTCAGCGCCTTCATTGTTTCCCTGACACTCTTTATAAGGAATTTAATCCTCCTACGACATACAGCAATGATATTATCTCTGAATTGGAAGAAACTGTAAGAGGAGTTACAAGTCTACTGTCTGTTTTGGCACGATAGTGGAGGACAAGTTCTGTAAAATGTTACCTCACATGTTTATATGTACGAGGTCTGTAAATTAAGTGATGTGACTGGATTTTTTTCAAAATTTTATATTGTCACCCTCAAAATAACTTCCTTCTGGAGCCACACAGCGCTGGAGACGGTTCTTCCACTCCTCATAGCAGTGCTGGAACTCTGAACCTAGAATAGCCTTCCGCTAGCCGTTTAAATGTTTTCAGCTGTCCCAAAGGTAATTTTTTAACTTCGGGAAGAGGAAAAACTCACAAGGACTCAAGTCAAAATGAGGGGGCTGAGGAGCCACAGTAATGTTTCTACTGGCCAAAAACTCATTTATTGACATTGCTATGTGACAAGGAGCATTATCGGAATGCAACACCCAGTTTTTCTTGACCTGATGAACCGTAGGCCTACTGGAGTTTAGCATGACTCTCCGTTGTACTATGCTCACGTCTGAAGCAAAACGTGATAGCGCACCGTTGCTCGGAATCGATGTCACTCATTTTTAGAACATAATTGAATAAAACTGTTTAACAAAGAAACTGCTATTGACAACCAAATGAATCGAGAGAGTTCAAATTTGTACTGAAGACGGATGACAACGTGTTCCCTTGTCTCCTATCCAGTAATTTACAGATCTCGTATTATACATACCGGCTGAGAACCTTCATGCTGTGATTCAAGCACCTTTTTTAGAACAAACACAACCCCCTTATTTCATATAGTAACATGGGAGCATATTCTGCAAATCATCTCGAGGCTTTGCTTGTCGTCCTAGTCGCTGGAATAATACCACAATGGTTTCTTTAAAATCAAAATACTCTCACGCGTCCACTGATCGATTTACTACTATCACTGTCACCATTCTGTACAACTACTCGATAGAATATATCTAGTAACGTTAATATCACATAGCTGTTTGCTGTTAAGAGGTCCGAAAACAAGTATCCTGCGACCTCATTGAAATTGCAGCACTTTGTTTCGTTCTATTTTTACCATCAAATTACCATCCACTTACCCAACTTCAAAACCAATCTCCTGTACATCGCACGATATCCACGCTGTAAAACTCACACCTACCATTCCGAAACTCTAATTATAAACCATTAGTTTTTAGCTCCATGCAATGGTGAAAAGCTCAGGATTCCGTGTTTATCTGATTCTATTTGCGATAACATGGTGGAGCACGCAGTGCGAAGGCTGTTCAACAACCAGCTCTTTAGGTCAGTTGGATTGCAACGCTTATCCGAGTTGCACTTACATTTAGGCAGGTGTAGTGTGAATTAAGTAACTGTATATCGTAAGTTTGAGGTTGTGGTGACTTTCGCAGACTCGGTAGATTCATGGAGCTGGGATGGGATCCTTTACAACATACTAGCATATATCAACGGAAAGAAGGTATATTTTACACACTTCATCACCTCCAAGGTCTCAACATATTATTATTAATTATTTATATACCTATATACAGGGTGTTACTTAATGATATGCATATAGTTGCATATTTTTCAATGCCAAAATGATTTTTAGCTTTAAGAGTGGCATGCGTACGGGTATTGACTTCGATATTTTTCAAGAAAAAAATAATACGCCAATAGTTTTTTGCCAAATAGAAATTATTTTCGAATTCCCCGTTCAACTAAAAACAAATGATCTCTCTTAAGTTGCTTTCCTTGGATGCGCCATTTTTGAGTAAAAAAATAAAAACCGTTCTATCGTCTAACTTGCAAAATTAATATTAATTTAAATGGAAAAATTAAACACATTAAAGGTAATGATCAACAACAACTGACCTACATAGACACGACATTGAAACCAACGAAATGATTACAAAAATTGTTGAAAATGGACCCGTTCTTAACTTAGTATGCATGCTTCCGCCCTCCTTCTCATGGAATCGCGCACTCGTTGAAATATCCCTGGAGTGTTTTTAATTCTATCACAAGCTGCAACTATTCTTTCTCTCAATTCCTCAACAGTGTTAATGGGACTTGTGTACACTAGTGTCTTGAGATAGCCCCGCAAAAAGAAATCTAAACTGTTGAGGTCTGGGGACCATGGTGGCCAGTCTTGGGGCCCACCGCGGGCAATCCAACGATTTGCATATACAGTTTGTAAATAATTACGAACCGCTACACTGAAATGCGCTGGTGCACCATCATGCATGTACAACATATTGTTTCTTATTACTAACGGAACATCATCAAGCAGCAAAGGCAACTGTTGTTAAAGAAAATTGAGGTAAGTCTGTCTGTCAAGTCGTCCCGGCAAAAAGAATGGGCCAATAATTCCTGCCCATACGTTAACTGAAAATTGGTATTGGAAATGGGTTTCGGTTACGGCATAGGGATTTTCTTCTGCCCACAAATGATTATTGTGCAAATTCTGAATGGCATTTCGAGAAAAATTAGCTTCGTCCATGAACAAAATCATTGATTCAAATTGCGGATTTTGTGTAATTTTTTGAAGATACCACTAACAAATGGTCACATGAATTGGAAAATCAATGGGAAGAAATGCCTGTACTCTTAAAATATGATAGAGATATAACAAAAGATTCACTAAAATTCTCCAAACAATTTGATGGCAAATATTTAAGTGTCTCGCGATCTTCTCGTTCTAGCACTACTTCCTCAATTTCAGGTGTTCTCACACTTAGAGGTCTACCTTCAGATGTTCCTTTCAAGACAGAACCAGTTTCAACCAGACGACGATGAATACGATCGGGATATCTCTGGTGATAAATCCATCTGGCTTGCTCACCATTACCGTCGGCAAGGCCATATACGTAATGCATTTCCGTCATTCCTGCATTTGAATAAATAATGAAAAAGATGTCACAGCGAACAGATTTGAATAACAGAGACTTGTCAGATGTCAAAAGCCAGTGACATATTCCAGAGCAACTAGATATTTATTGCTAAATTGCATTCTTCAATTATTACATTAATTTTCTCGGAAAATAGAACCGCTTTTATTTTTTTTAATCAAAAATGGCACTTTGAGGGGAAACCAACTCAAGAGAGATCATTTGTTTTAAATTGAATGGGAAATTCAAAAATAATTTTTATTTGACAAAAAACCATTGGCGTACCATTTTTTTCTTACTAAAAGTCAAAGTCAATACCCGTACGCACCGTACTGTTAAAGCTAAAAATTATTTTTCGAAGTTGAGTCATTTATTTTAACAGTGAGTAGATCTGATCAAAAGAAATGTTTTTTCCTTTACCATTTTTCTGGTAAAATTAAAGTAACAAAGTTATAGCCCTTTGGAAGTTTGAGTACCGCCCTGTCTCAATAATATCATGTGCTCGTGTTTGGCAACAACGGATATAATCCGCCTTATCGGTTCATCGCATCGGAAACAAAAAAGCGAAGGAATTTGGAACGATGTTTTTACAATTATGTTATTCAGTTCAGTTATACATACAGTCAGTGTCAGTCGCGTGTGAATAGTGTCTGTTGCGTGGCTCAAAAGAAATAAAAAATGGCACATGTTTATGCGGATCGGTTTCCCAATCGAGTGCAACCAACCCCTCGTGCCTTTGTTAATGTAGTACAACGGGCTCGTGAATCAGGTGACTTAAGACCTCACAGGGGACCTCACGATCAAATACAGGTCCGCACTGAAATACTTGTCGGGAGGATACTTTATAAAACAAGGTAAAAAATTTTTTTTATTTTTTTTTATTTTTACACACATATTTTGGTTTATCTTCCTTCTACAATCATTATCTGAAAATTAATGACTCAACTTCAAAGTCACCCTGTAGAGAGAGAGAAAGAGAGAGTCGTGGTCATTGTCGTCTAGACCAGTTAGGTGAAAAATAGAGCCTCCACCTTTAGGTGGGTCCTCCGACAAAATTCAAGCAATGAGGACTCTTTACGCTTTATTAGTCTCTAGCTTTCAATGGACTTTGCATCTTCATCAGGAGCTGCAATAATATTGAGAAGAAATAGCAAATGTTGTGCAAAATGATTTTAAATTAACTTACAATAGTATGTGAGATTGTTGCTAAATGTTATTAACGGTTATGTTGAGAGAAACACCAGGCTACTAAATGTTTGTCGAAGTACCCGACTAAAGGCGGAAGCTTTATTTTTCACCTATATATAAAAGGAAAAAGGAATGTGAAAGGTCCTAGCGCCAATTATGAGACGATAACAGAGCACTAAAATGAATTTAGGAATCGACTCTGAAAAGGGTTAGAGTGTTGGGTTTTGCTTTTGTCTCATAGATGGCGCTTGGGTCTGCCAGTCCCTTTTGGGCGCCGGAATACAGTGTGTGATAGGTTATGGTTGATTTCCATCAGGTAGGATGCGTCACTTACTCTGTTGCATCTAAAATTACTCATTTTCCACAGAGAGTACCAATATAACCCGATCTGTCAACGCGTTCGCTTTAGCCAGACACAGCAGTGCAGGGTCAAGTGCTTGATTACACAGGTAATCAAAAAGGTTCTGTACCTGGAGTACTGTTTTAAGCCCGAACAAGGAATTTTAAAATAACTTCACCCAGTTAGATACATTTTCCATACCATCTTGAAAAGAGCTATTAGTCAGGGGCGATGACTTGTGATGAAACATGAACACCAAAAAATAGAAAGGATAACCCAAAACCGTAAATAGGTTAGATTAGATTACAGAAGCAAATGGATCTATTGTGATCCCCCTACATAATTTCTAGAGCACTGAGTCCAGCCTTGATCCTTTGATTAGATTAAATAGCCTTGATACAGGGCCTTTCATGTAGCTTTCCGCAGTTGGACCTGGGGTTCCTACTATCTGAAACCGTAGCCCTGCCAGGCCTTCACAGTGACATAGGAGATGCACAGGATGTCCGTCATGCTCTCTGCAGAAAAGGCATGTGGCGTCTTATGTCAGACCCAAGAGCCTCATACGCGTATGTCGATTTAGTCGACAGTGAGTAGACCCACAATGGCCTTCCTTCCGCGACCGAAAAGGTCCCCTGTAAAAGCGGGCCTTCGTTCTTTGATGAACTCTTCTGCCTGCCTTTGCCCCAATTGGCTGTTCCACCATTCTAAGGACTTTTTCTCGGTCCAATTTCTTACGGAGTGTTTGGTCCCTTGAGGCGATTAGCCGTACCCTGTCGGGCTAGCTCATCCGCCTTTTCATTTCCTTTGTGCCCTTCATGTCCTGGTACCCAGAGCTACGTTAGCTTGTTTCGGTATCCCAGCTCTTTGAAGGTGTTCACGCAATCTCATACTAGTTCAGACGATATTTTCGATGAACTTAGTGCCTTTATGGCTATCCGAGCAGATGCTCATGGACTGAGTTGCAGTCTCATTCCTTATTAGCACCTTTGCACAGACTTGTATGGCCGTTACTTCAGCCTGATAGATAGGGTAATTCAACATGAATTTTTGGAGCAAAAGTACGTCTTGCGTTTATAACCACCCTCTATAGGTGATACCAAAATTTTTATAAACATTCAAATAACGAGAAACTAGGGAATTCATAAGCCACGAAATTTGAATTATTAACGATCTAAACCCTGTAGCCTCTCCTCCTATGTCTTCGCTTCCTTGGAAAGGGCTTTTCAGGATATACTAAAATATACAGAGTATTCGATTGGGAAAAATGCATGTTTTGTGTAAGCACGTAATTATGAATCACCGCGGAGATAAGTATATTTCAAGCAATGCTCGTACATGTTTTGTAAATAGCTTTTCTAGATATACCGAGGTCCGCGTTAATTCGACAAACGTCTTGCAGTGCGATGTCGGATTATCGAATTTGTCAGATTATAGAGAACTGCCTAAGATTCGAGAAATTTTAAATCAAAGAATCTACGTTATTTGAACCAAGAATCACACTACATAATTATGTATATGTCGGCATCAAACGCTGAAATTCATCATTCCCCGAAATGCCAAGTCAGTCCCCGTATTGCCGGCAATTCCCTGTAATGACTGAACAATTTTAGTCAAACACGGTAACAACCACATTAACTTCGTTACTAGATTTACCTAATTCAGTCATTCATTGTAGCAGTTTTGTGATCATTTGCTTGAGTATACACATAGTATTTTCTATTCTGCGAAAAAGCAGTGTTTATCTAATAGATGTATTTGTTTAAAAAAAACTTCTCTGTAATTCAAGGTGCCGTAGACGTCTAACATGCGCTAACAAATAATGTTTAGAATAATATTAAATATAAGATAATTCTATGTAATTCTTTTTTGTTTGTCACTACTCGCAGTTCTGCATTTTATTTTTTAAGGGTAATTGTTGTTTTATATTCCTTTCGATGGTGTCAGGATATTTCTTGCTGATTTAATACATTAATGATTCGTGTCCACAATAATATTATAATAAAGACAACATTTTAATCTATTCTTCTCTCCTTTTCGATTAATATATGATATGATTGATTG